TTTTGATTTTCTGACTCCAGCTCTCTGCATATTTCATTGTAGTGTCTTGCTTTGTCGTCCCGAGCTGCCTTTTGAAATTTTCTATTCAGCTCTCTGATTTCTTGATTTCTTCCTTTAGCTTTGGCTTCTCGGCACTCTAATGCAATACTCAGAGTCTCATCTGACATCCATCTTGGTCTTTTCTTCTTCTTTAGCCTTTGTAATGATCTTTTGCATTCATTCTTCATGGACGATTTTCTTGATATCCTCCCAGAGCTCATTTGGTCTATACTCATTGGTACTCAAGGCCTCAAACCTGTTCCTGAGATGGTTTTGAAATTCAAGTGGGACAGACTTAAGGTCAAATCTTGGTTCCTGTGGACTTGACTTAATTTTCCCAACTTTAGCTTGAATTTGCATATGAGTAATATAATGAAAAATAATTGCCGTGGAGTCACAACCAACTCCAAGATATTTCCCAAATATCAAATTGAGAAAGCATGAATGCAGCTTTTCCCAAATACTAAACAAAACATTTTAAGTGAAGCTTTCATATTGAAACAGGACTTAGGACATAGTCAGGAGCCTGCTCAATTGTTTCCCAGTCAACTCTTCTAGCAACACTGAGACACTCTTTCCACCAGCACCTAGGGATTGAGAGTTTGGTTAGGTTTTTTTTTTTTTGCTTTTTTGATTATTATTTTGTGTGTGTGTGTGTGTGTCTGTGTACCGTCAGATCAGTTCTGACTGGTACAGGAGGAGATTGTCCCTCCTTTCCCGGCAGAGCATCTGGTGGATTCGAACCATGCGTCTCTGGGATTGCAGTGCAGCTTCTTGCCACTAGGCCACCAGAGCTCCCGCGATTGAGAGTTTTTAAAAAATAAACTTATAAAATTTTAGAACACTTTTAAACTTACAAGAAATATTTCAGAGATTGTACAAAAGATAGTATAAAGCTGGAGTTTTGAGTCCATTCAGACATATTTAAAAATACATCTCAAAAAAAAAATACATCTCACACTCAATTTTAACTATTATTAACCGCCAGACGGGCCAGGAAGAGACCTGGTAAGAGCAACAGTCAGCCAGCCACCGCGGAACCCCAGAGGAGCGAAGACTACCCGCCACTGTGTGACCCTCCTGCAGCCGGCACCTGTGTGACCCCCAACACACAGGGTGCTGCTACATAAACCCCCAGCAGCGCCCAAGCCCCGCCCTCACCTCTTGGTGGTAGTGTCCAAGCCCTGTGCTCCTTAGGCCCCCTAGTCCCTTGCTTTCCTCCCCTTCCCCCGCCCCCTTTGTAACATCAACTATTTTTAATGCCTTGCATTAGTGTGGAGAGCTCTGGAGACCTACTGGGGAAGGAGTTGCACTGCCAACCCAAGGCAGGCAGTTCAAATCCATCAGCTGGACCATAGGAAAGAGTTGAACAATTTTCTCTCCGGTGACTTACAGTTACCTGGAGGAGCTCTGAAAACCTGCTGAGAGTCAACTCTTTTATCTTTTATCTAAGAAGTCAGAAAATCAAATGTATGGACACTCTCTTTTCCTTTGTCACTTGATATAAACGGAACTTTAATACTGTAATTTTGTATCAATCTTTCTGTAAAATGTAATTTTCAGGAGGAGTTTTCAGGCTTAGCTGGTTTACTCTTCATCCGATTCTCCCATTACTATCTTTTTTCCTTTTTTACAGCATATTGGAATAAACTATCTTTTCTTGATTTTTAGTAACTGGAGTAGTTACTGGTTTTTTTCCCCCACCAACAACACAGTCAGTACAGGCTCTTTCTTGCTGATATGATGAGAAGTCAAGCGTGACTTTTTCCTAAATTTTGACCCTTTGCTATTTAGCCTCAGCTAAAAACAGCCACAACATCTGGATCCTACTTCTCAATAAAATGCCCCAAGCCAAGGTTTATTTTTGTTTTCACTTGCATATATTTCAAGTCCAGCTTAGTTCCATCATTTATCTCCTGGAAGCTTGCTAACCAGGGAGCATTAACTCCTTTATTTGTTAGTTATTTAATGGCTACTTGGGGAGAAATAGACCAGGGCCTTAATGCAGATGGCGTATCTTAAGAGTTTCAAATAGAAAGATCTTTACTGTATGGAATTTATTCTGATTACTTTAACTCAGGATTTGGCCTTCTTATTCAGAAGTAAAAAAATAAAGGGCATCTGGCTGGACACCTGCCTGCTACACTGCTAGTTCTAGGTCACGTGATCATGCTAATTGTTAGGCAGACACAATGGATTAGAAATTTTAGAAGCCTAACAGCCGTAAAGTGCCTCAAGCCTATGGCAGCAATACTGAAGATTGGTATAGAAACAATTGCTTTACATTTTTGCCTATACTTCTAGAAAGCAATTTATTTTTACTTTTTTTTCCTTTAAGGACAAACATATTAAGACTTCTTCTGTGTATTGACACAAAAAGAACACAGAACAGTGTATCTGTGGATGTGGATCTGTTCTTAATACAGGTCATTGCATGTATGCCTTTGCCTGAGGTATTTCGAAATGTAATAGGGCAGAATTAATACAGTGCAATTACACCTCTAATTTTAAAAAAAAAGCTAACTCGTAAAACCAACTATCAAAATGACAAGTGGTTTTTATTTATTTGGATGAATCATAGATTTTATTTAATGCTGACAAGGGACATGACATCACATATAAATAAACAATGAATACAAATAAACAATGAAGAAAAAAATGGAACACTTCACAAATTTGTATGTCATCCTTGCACAGGGGCCATGCTAGTCTTCTCTGTATCATTACAATTTTAGTGTATGTGCTGCCAAAGCGAGCACCCTCCCCTTATTTTTTTTAAAATTTATTTTAATGAGTTTAGAGAAAAGTTGGATTTTTTCCCCCCTTGGTTGTTGTTGTTTGCCGTAGAATCAGATTCAACTGGTACAGGAGGAGATTGCCACTCCTCTGCCGGAGCATCTGGTAGAACTGAACTAGGCACCTTTGGGATTGCAGTACAGCTTCAGAGCGCCCTTAAAAGTTGAATTTTCATTCATTCATTCATTGTTACACCTTTTCCTGCCTACCACCCTAGTTCACTTAAAAAAAATCATTCATTGTAGCATAATGTCCTCCCTCCATACCTTCTCCCAGTCCAATTTGCTATACTCCTCCTATTCTGGGTTGTTGTCATGTGTATAATGCCTAATCATATATTCCTTTTAAACAGTTGTTTCCTTCATCTGTTCCAATGAAATGTTCATTATTTATTCCCTTTTCTTGGTTTACCTCATGCCCCATGTCAGTCCTGTTTTATAACAATGGTGTTTTGCAATGTGTGTCCTTTTGTGACTAAGCTATTTCACTCAGCATAATGTCCTCCAGGGTCACCCATATTGTGTAATAGTTTATGAGTTCCTTATTTTTCAGTGCTGCATAGTATTTTATTGTGTGAATATACCAATTTCTCTATCTATACATTTGTTGATAGGCACTTGGATTGCTTCCATCTCTTTAGTATTGTGAATGACCCAGCAATAAACATGGCTGTGCATATATCTGTTCAGGTGACAGTTCTGTGTTGCAGACTGAGGGTAAAGTATATTAATAATTAATAAAGAGAGAAAAAAACCAAGAATACATAAATAAAGAGTGTAAAAGACAGGGGGCCAGCAGTTCAAATCAACTTAAGCGCCACAAGCCACGCCCCTCAGTGTATTTATTGAGAATCAGGGAAAGCAAATCATAAAGAGAATTCTCTTGTAAATGAAGCCAAATTTTTCTCTATGGTCAACCTAATTCTTTTAGCTCAGGAAGGAAGTTTTTCACACATATTAACACTCCCTCTGCAGGGGGACCCTAGCTATCTCTTGTCTGCAGAAAACAGCCCATTTCCTGCAATCTGTCACAAGAAAAATTCAAACTTATGTGATTCCTTCAATTCCTGGCTTCCCATAGTTCTGGCTTCTTTAGGGTCTATTCCTTGTAGTAGTGGGATTACTGGGTCAAATAGTACTTATTTGCAGCTTTTTGAGAAAGCACCAGACCACCTTCCATGGTAGCTGCAACATTTTACACGTCCACCAACAGTGATTAAGTGTTCCACTCTCTCCACAATCTAGTCAGAATTTGCTGCTCTGTTGAACTTTGCTATTGTTACTGACATGATTATCTCATAGTTGTTTTTGAAAAGCGTTTTTAAATGAAAATAACTTATTCTTAAGTAGAAGAAAGTTTTGGAGGGTTTTTTAGGTCCTTTTCCTGATAAATGCTTAAGAGCTTGCTTGGACTAATGTAGAGCCAGCTGGTCATTCCAGTGAATAAACTTCTAGTCCAGACTGTCGGGATGACAGAAGATGGATTTCTCTAACTGAGCGGGCGATACTTTCGCCACGTAGCAGGAACTGAGCACAGAACCTAGAACTCGTGCCCGAGTCCGCGCGTTGGCAGCACTGGAAGCTGGTCTGTGCCCGGTCGGGCGAGGACAGGGGTTAGTGGTCCAGTATCTGGCTCAGGCCTGTGTGCCTCAACTCCAGCATCCAGTGTGCCCTGCGCCTTTCCCTCGGCCCGCCCGTCGTGCACTGCAGGCAGCCGCAGGGTTACTTGCGGCTCCAAGCAAGCTTTATTACGGTCAGCTTTCGCGTGTAACTCCGCGCACATATACGCTTCCTCTTCAAATCGACTACCTGAAAAGGAACCGCGAATAAAAAGTAGCCTGCTAAATTCAATCCCATGACTAATAAAAGCAGCCAACTGGGATCACGTGACAACGGTGGACCAGTGCTGTGGCGGTGTTCTAATCTCTATGGTCCTTGCAGCTCGCTAGAGGGCGTGCAGTGCACTAAATGACTTCCTTCATTCCTTCTCCATTACCTCATTGCCTCCGGTGCCTGCTGGGATCTTGGAGGACTCGGGTCACGGCTCTACTCAGTCCTCCGGCCGCCTGGGGAAATACCCCTCTCTCGAGTTTTTTACGGTCGCGGCCGCTGCTACTTCCTCCATCGCCTGCTGGTCTTCCTCACCCCGCCCCGCTTCCCCCGCGAGTCCAGCCCACCTGCGGGCACACTTCTCTCGGGAGCTCCCACCCATACGAATGGCTCCATGAAGCAGAAGGTGGAGGCAGAGTGCGAGAGGTCCTGTCCGCCCTGGTTGCGTCTGGGCCAAAAGAAAAGGTGGGAAAGTTGGGCCACGCCGCGCCGTCATCACTCCTCCCCGAGGCCGTGGCAAGACCAAGGCTTGGTCCCGGGACTGGTCCTCGGACGCCAACGCCGACTGTCTGGCGAGGTGGGCGCTGGGAACCTCGGGCCGCGAGGAGGAGGGCCTGGCGGGCCTGCAGATACCGGGCTCCGTGCGCCGCCAGTGGGATCAGGGCCCTGCCAGGCTTCTCCGCCTTCCCGGATTCCTAAGGACGCCACGGTCCAGGGAAAGTTTGGTGGTTTCCAACCGCGTACTCCGTCCTTCCTGCGTCCGTGGCGGGTCCCCTCCTATGGCTCGTCCCAGTACCGGCCACTCGGCTGCCCTCTGATCACCTGGCTGCCGGTCAGCCCCTAACCTTTCTCCCTGGGCCGTCCCCCGTACCCCCTGTGCTGCCGGCCATCCCCCCAGCTCCTGACCTTCCTCCCTGGGCCGTCCACAGCAGCCCTGTGCTGTCGGCCACCCCCTGGCCTCTGACCTTCCTCCCTGGGCTGTCCCCAGTACCCCCGTGCTGCCCCGTCCTCTCTTTCTTCCCACACACGCACTTTCTCGTCCTGGTTTTCCCCCAGTCCACAGCTCTCCTGTCGCCCTTATTGCGATCATTCCTGCACCTTTCTCTTTGAGTTTTTTACTTCTTCGCAGACGGCTTTCTTTCTTCATTCTTTGCCCTGATCTGAACTCCTTTTTTGCTACATAGACACCCTCATCCTCAAGACCTCCTCCTCTGCCCTCTCCTTGGCTGGAGTGGGTGGAGCTGAAAGTCTCCTGTTTACTTCTTTGGGAAAAGGTTTATTCAGAACTGAAAGTAAGGGTGGATTATTTTTATCAATAGTCACCTCTTTTTAGTTAACAAGGTGGCTTGTCTTCAATAATTCTTAAGCATAATTTTTGCAGAAGATTTGAGAATATGTTTGTATTCTGAAACTAATATTTAATATGACCTAGAGTGAGTTTTTATCCAAATGTGAGGAGATGGTGGTAGTGCCTGTTCATTTTTAAAGCTCTGTAAAAACCTTTGAGCCCGAGTGCCTTTCCTTTTCATCGATGTCACTAAGCATGAGTTGACTTAGTTGATGGGACTGCGATTGCTGCCTCATGTCTAGACTTTGAAATGTTTTGAGAGTCTGTTGACCACTCCCCTCAATAATTACTCTGTTGACTTCTAATTTTTTCCAGAAACGTGTCTAAACTCTATACTGTGATTTTACTGGTTCACTGCACCTACATTTTTCCCTTAGGTACAGGAAGAAGGAGTGGAATAGAATGGAAGAAAACCCATTCCAGAGACAAAATAATACTCTTCCCCTGTTATAGCTGTTCCCCTGGCAATACACACTTTCTGCTTTCAGTGAGTAGTATTATCTTGGCCATATTTAGAATAGAATTTTATTGTTCTTTTGGTTTTAGGCTTCTGTTCACAGTTTGAAACATAAGTGTAGTTTGTGCTGTTGTATTTTGCTGCTCCTCTGAACGGGTCCTAGTGTTGACACAGTTTCTTCAGATTCTTTTCTGTGAGTCCTCAGAGCATCCTAGAAAGTACATAAAGTTTGGCTTCCAGTCCTTCCTAGATTACTCATGTTTTTTAAAGCTAGCTAAAGATAATAGCCCAAAAATTAATGCAGTTTTGGTTAAGGTCGATTATTGAGTCTCTCTCACTGAGATATAGGCCTAAAGAGATTTCTAGGACATTATGTTCTAATCTTGCTTTTGGTGATATTATCCCGTTTTGGATTTGAAAAGAATTGAAAATATTTGTGTAAAAACTTGAAAAAGGTTATAGAAGAAGGGGAAAGAAGCTATTGCTGTAGAATTACCATTCGTTTATTAATGATATGCTGGTGTTTGTAATACTGTTTTCTGAGTGCCTTGCATTATTGTTGGATCCTCACAGGGAGACAGGACAAATGAAACCAGAATTACTCAGAAGCTTGTCATAGGTTACATAGAAAAGAAGCAGGAAGATTTTTTTAACATGAAAATACATAGTTCTGCATAGTTTCTAAGTCTATAAATGTAAAAGGTCATTGTGTAAGTTAGTTACTTTGAGAAATCTTTCACATACTAAGTGTTGTGGATATATGTATGTGTGTGTTTTATACAGTTTCAAAAATATAGCAATTATTATTATTTGTAGTGGTTACTAGAATATTTTCATGTTTTCACCTATTTCCTGGAATAGATCTGTAAGTAGGGCAGAATTATAGCCTAGATGTTATTTCACTAAGCAGAATATGGTTATCAAATTGAATTTCAGGTGACCTTTGTGTTAGAGCCTGACAGTCTGCTTTTTTCTATCAAAGGCTTGATTTGAGCAGACAACTAGACATTAATGATAACAGAGAAAAGGCAGAGGATTTCTTTTCTCCTTGTCTCCTACCTCCTAAGTTGGTTTTCTTTGTTATGAAGTCATACTCTCCAAAAAGGTGTTTTGAGGCTTGTCTTAAGTAGGGGAATTTTCTGTGCCTCCAGGTTTTTCTTGGCAATGTTTTCAGATTATTGTTTGAAAATCTACTTTTCTCTAACTACTTTCGCATGGTAGTTGCATTGTTAACTGTTATGTATAATTGAATGGGAATAGATTTTCAGAGACTCTGAATTCCATAGAAGGAGATTTCCCATATTTTTGGTCTTCAGACTAGCTGGTGGATTCATACCACTTGTCTTTGGGTTGGCAGCATAGCTCCTTAAATACTAGACCACCAGACCTCCCTAGTTACATTGTTGTTGTGTTCTCTTGAGTAACAACCAAGTCTTAGCTGACCCTCCAGGAGGTTTTTAGAGGCAGCTGCCTCTGAAGTATTAGTTGCATTAATACTTAAGATTTATCAAGAGTTAACAACTGTATAGCACATTTGGTCTAGTCTCTTTTTGCTTCCTGTCTGTAAGTTTAAAAGAATACTCCAGTAAAATAGAATTCTGTTCAGCTCTGCAACCTAAACTAGGGTTTTTTTTTGTTAATGACCTAGAGGGTAAGGAGGAGTTCTGCCAATCCAAAGGAAAGCAGTTTGGATCCACCAACTGCTGGATGGAAGACAGATGGGCAGTGTAATCCCTTACAGTTTATACCCTCTGAAAATCCGCTGGAAGGTCAGCTATAAGTAGGTTTCAACTCGAGAGAAAGAAATAGGCATTTCACAATTAAAAGAACAGCAGATGATTTATTAAAATACACTGTATTCCCAAGAAGAAAACATCAAGGTCATAAGAATAATTTCTGTGTACATGATCTTTGTACTACAAATTAATTCGTGAGAGAATTCAATAAAGAGCATTTCTCTAAAAATTGTAAAAACTCAGAACTGGTATTTTTATAACTTTTTAACCCTGTCTTTACTGGTAGGTGGAGTGCTAGTATTAATAATAACAAACATTCAATAAGTAGCAGCCTTGTATCAAAGAGAACTTCTGGTTGGCACAGTATTTCAAGTGCATGGCTGCGAGCCCCAAGATTGGTGCTTTGAACCCTTCCACTATTCTATGGAAGAAAGTTGTGGCATACTGCTTCTGTAGAGATTACAGTTTTGACAACACCATACAGCAGTTTTATTCTGTCCAGGCCATGGTCTTCTTAATTGCTTGCTATGCATCTGAGAGCTGGACAGTGACAGAAGAATTGATGCTTTTGAGTTGTGGTTCTAGAGAAGGGTATTGCCAAGAGAACAAACAGGTCTGTCCTGGAGAAGATGAAACCAGGTTATCCTTTAGAAGGACCTTGAAACTCCCTCTCACATACTTTAGACATGTTACTAGGAGGGACCAGTCCTTGGAAAAGGACATGTCTCTTTGAATGGAGGTAGGAAGTCAACCCTGGAGAGGAAGACATTGGATGAAGTGGATTTACAGAGTGACTAGGCAGTGGGGGCCAGGTGTGTCTGAGTTGATGAGATGGATTCAGGGTAGGGTAAGGTTCAGAGTTTTTGTTCATAGGGTCGCTATGAGGCATAGCTGACCAGAGGCTGCTTAACGACAGTAGGGTTGCTGGAGTTGGAATCCACTTGTTGGTTTTCATTTGATGTGTAATAAAGAACTGCTTTGTGTGCTTTTCTGTTACACTCATTAAACAGCCCTTTACTAGCAAGAATCTGAGTCCCACAGGGATGTATAAATAAGTTTACAAAGCTGCCTCTTGGCATAAGAGAGTTGGCATGTCATCCTTAGCTGTACCGCCAAAGCTTAATGTAGTAGTCTGTGTCTTAAAAGGGTGGGAACTTGGGGAGGGAGAACTAAATCAGGAGCCAATTATCATATTATCAAGTAAGCTATCCAGCAACTGATAGTTGCCTGTAGGTCATGTAGGCTGGTAATGTGTATAAGAGAAGGTGAACCATTGCCTGGTTCTTGACCATTTTCATGTGTGTTTGAGTCCATTGCTATGACTTGTTTCAATATATTGTTTTAAAGGTTTGTTTTTTTTCTTTAGTGTTTTTCTTACAGTGAAAGTTTACAAATGATAGTGATTTCTCAGTCATTCAGTAACAATTATAATTGATTCATATAATTGATGATTAAAATGTCTAAAATTCCCTTGTATATTAACTTAGGTATTTATTAATTTTTTTCTTCCCTCGCCATCTGTAATCATTCTCAGTATTTAATGTTGTTGTGCCATCAAGTCAATTATGGCTTGTAGCAACCCCATGAACTACAGATTTGAACCTTATCCTATTTTGTGCCATCCTCACAAACTGTGACATGCGCAGGCCCATTGTTACAGTCACTGTGTCAATCCATCTTGCTCATGCCTCTCTCTGACCCTCCACCTTACACAGCATGATGTCTTTTTCCAAGAACTGGCCCCTCCTGACAACATGCTAAAGTATTTAATATGACATTTCACCATCCTTGCCTCTGGTTTCACTTCTTCCAAGACAGATTTGTTTGTTCTTTTAGTTTTTGTCCATCAGACATTCCGTACCCTCCTTTAGCAGCACAATTCAAAGGCATCAGTAGTTCTTCTGTCAACCTTAGTCATTGTCCAAATTTTAGGTATTTAAGAAGTAATTGAAGGGAGCTCTGGTGGCCTTGTTGTGTGAAGCTGCACTGCAATCCCAAAGGCATGTGGTTTGAATCCACCAGATGCTGCGCTGCAGAAGGAAGGGCAATCTCTTGTGCCAGTCGGATCCGATTTGACAGTACACAACAACAACAAAAGAAGTAATTGAAAAGACTGTGTGGCTTGGTTCTTCTACCCTTCCTGGCTGATAGTAAAGGATACCAGAAGAATGTCTATTTATGCTTTATTGATTGTGCACAGACATTTGACTGTATGGATCTTATCAAGTTATGACTAACATTAAGAATGATAATCTCAGAACACTTAATTGTGTTCTTGCGAAACTTACATCTATCCCAGGAGTTGTTTTTCCCAGTATATTTTTGCAATGCAGCATATCTTCGGATTTCTTAACTGAAGAAATGGCTTATTGATTGTGGATCTAAGTAAAATGAAATCATTGACAACTTTGATCTTTTCTCCATCTATCATGATAATGCCTAATTGGTCCAGTGGTAAGGACTTTTGTTCCTTGATATTGAAATATAATCCACATTAAAGTCTTTATTATTCTTCAGCAGATGTTTTAAGTCCTGTTCACTTTCAGCAGGTAAGACTGTATAGTTTTTATAACTCAGTTTATTGATGAATCATCCTCCAATCTTGATGCCACATTCTTCATATAGTCTAGCTTCTTACATTATTCGATCAGCATACAGATTGAATGTTGTTGTTATTGTTATTATGTGCTGTCAAGTCGCCTGCGACTCATAGCGACCCTTTGTACAACGTCCTTAAAACCTGCTCTGCCCAGTACCAATTTTACTTGTCTCCGATACACCTACCCCCCCATTACCCCAGTCACTGAATCAGTCCATCTCATCGAGGGTTTTCCTCTCTTGCTCTGTCCCTCCACTCTCCCAAGCATGATGTCCCTCTCCAAGGACTACTCCTGCCTTGCAGCATGCCCAAAGTATGTCAGACAATAGAATACAGATTGAATAGGTATGGAGAATGGATAAAGCCTTGATACACACCTTTTTTTAAAAAATTTTAAACACTGCAGTGTTACCTTCATCCTGGAGAGGGTTAAACCAGGCTACTCCTTGGAGGCAAGGATTCTGGGGCTTTGTCTGACATACTTTGGACATGTTGTAAAGAGGGACAGGTCCTTGGAGAGGGACATCATACTTGGGAGGGTGGAGGGACAGTGCAGGAGGGGAAGGCCCTCTATGAGGTGGATTGATTCAGTGACTGGGGTAATCGGGATGGGTGTGTCAGAGGCAGTGCGATTGGCACAGGATAGAGCAGGGTTTAGGGCTGTTGTATACAGGGTCGCTATGAGTCCCAAGCAA